TCTGGTAGCAATTCTGGTAGCTACCATTTTACCATAAAAATTTTTGGTATTAATTAGATTCTCTGATCCCCCTATCCAAATTTTCAGTCCTCTTGTAAGCAATACGTGTCGTGAATGAATGCTGTGTTTAGAGCGCCAGCAAGTTACCATTCCTATTGCCAGAGTATTGCCTGGTAGCAAGCCCGGCGTGGTAAAATAGTAAATGATGATCGTCCCTGTACCATACGGTATGTAATCGTACTCGTTCCAAGAGGATCTTCTTTCTGGTCAAGTCTCCGATCCACAGAACAAGGAAGATCTTTCGCGGTACGAGTATTCGTACGATACCCTTCGCATCGTGTTCCGAACACCGGTCGATCGGCCCAAGCGTCGGTTGGTTCCTTTTGCCACCTATGACACATTTCCTAGCACGCACCGAGTTGGGCATTGATACCACCGGACGTCGTGCCCACGTCCTCGTTCGAGCTGTCTCGCACCGAGGAACCAACCAAGAGGGACGCACACGCCCATTCGAACGAGAACAACGACAACACTAAGAAAAGGGGCAACGGCAGCGGCGACGACGACGACGAAGCTTAAGATCAAGCAAGACAACAGCAACGGTCTCGCATCTTTCCAGAGAGATACGAACATACAATAGGAAAGCACATGCCCGATTGAACCACAAGAACGACAAGACCGAGAACACAGACAACGAAGACGACGACGACGACGACGACGACAACACAAAGGGCAAGACGGAGGACACAAAAGCGGCGTTCACGATCTCCTTCTCCGCTCCAATGACGACCACCAGCGAAAATCAAGCCACGGCCGCCGGTCCTCCGGACGCGCCCCATAACGTCTTCGTCTACAAGGGACAAACGATTTCTCCCGACGAGAAGAAAACAATCCGTAGCGTTGTCGTGGATTCCACGGTGGAGGAGATCCCGGAAAAGGCATTCGCTGACTGCACACTTTTGTCGTCCATCAGCATCGCAGAGGGTGTGACATCAATTGGTAATGGTGCATTCGATAGATGCTATTCCCTCAAGAAAGTTGTCATCCCAAAGGGTGTGACAACAATTGCGGAACGTTTGTTCTTCTATTGCGGTTCACTGGAATCCATTGATATCCCAGAGGGTGTGACATCAATTGGTTATGGTGCATTCGATAAATGCTCTTCCCTTGAGAAAGTTGTCATCCCAAAGGGTGTGATAACAATTGGTGATCGTGCATTTCGCAAATGCTCTTCCCTCGAGAAAGTTGTCATCCCAAAGGGTGTGACAACAATTGCGGAACGTTTGTTCTTCAAATGCTATTCACTGGAATCCATTGACATTCCAGAGGGTGTGATATCAATTGGTGATAAAGCATTCCGTGAATGCTCATCGCTGATTTCCATCCAAATCCCAGAGGATGTGACAACAATTGGCGAACAGGTTTTTAAGGAATGCTCTCGACTTCTTATAGTTGCAGTCCCAAGCGGCTTACAAGACATTGATCCTTCAGCTTTTGATGGCTGCAAGATCCTTTGCAGTGTAGAGGTCTCAGAAGGAGCTCCCAACGAAGCCAAAAATGTTGGCATCCAAACAATTGCTGACCAGCTGAAGATACGTTTCAAAGACCTCCCATTGCATGAAGCATGCTATCATGCAAATTTGAAGGGTATTGAATCATCTTTGAAAGAGAATTCACGAGGTGCTGAAAAACAGGATAAGTACAACTTGAATCCACTCCATATTCTCGCCATAAATCCAAATGCAACAGGAGAGATGATCCGACTTGTTGCAGACAATCACCCAGATGCAATGGCAAATTCTGGCAATGCCCTCCGTATGTGCCCCATTCACCTTGCATCAAGGAATCTTGGAAAGAAAGCACTTGATGTTATTTCTATATTCACTGATGAAAAAATACTGAAGAGAAGACTGATGTGCACAGTACTAGACAAGGACTCCAATACGCCAACCATTCTATCAATTCGCCACAACTTTGCGAACTTAGACATGCAACGCCATCTTTTCAAGTTCCAACCGTGTGATGAATCAAACTTTTTAAAGCAACACCATAGGGAACGAGTGACTGAATTGGAAACTTGGTATGTGACTGATTGGATCACATCTGACACATTCAAAAACCTTGATGCCCATGCGCAAAACGGCTGGGTTGGCTTCGTTAGCAACGCATCAAAGACAGAGAATATTCATGCTATCTGTGATATTATTAGAAATGGACAAGAGGAGTTTGTCAGAGACCTTGGAAACGCCAAAGATAGCAATGGCAGAAAAGCGTTTGATGTAGCTGTAAATGACATCAAAAAAGCATTTTGTCAACGACTATATTTTTTGGGCAGGTACGAACTAGTTAGTGGACCACCCATTCACAAGTCGGACACATGTATCGTAGTTGGGGCATTTGATATGGAGAGTGATGACTTCTACAAGAAAATGTATGAAAAAGCACGTGGTGCACAATCAGAAGTAAGCAAAGGATCCTTCAGGGAATTCTTGAAAAATCACAATATGAACCAATGGTGCGAAGATCAAATATTCACAAGAGTATTTTCTAAGTATGATCAAAATGGAAATGATATGCTTTCAGACAAGCAATTTTTGGACTTTTGCAAGGACGTTTTGAACAAAGGCAAGCATCGTAAGGTTGCCATCAAATTCATGAAGAACAAGGATCAATTCTCAAGAGAGCTCTTGCGCCGCGAGGCCCTTCAAAAAAATCTGTCAAAATGGAACAGTCTGTGGTAAGTATTGATGAAACCTACGATGCAGCGGAAGATAACAAATTCAAAATTGCACTGGAATCATTGCAGGTCCCAGGGTCCGAAGACAAGAACAAGAAGATGTACAAGGACTACAAATATGCTGTTATTATGCCCTGTGCTGACCGCAACCTTGAGATGATTGCGAGAAGCGAGCAACCGGATCCAAACAAAACTCGCTCAGATTTACATCAGATTGCAACAAAACTCAATGCTTTGCATCAGCAAAACATAATCCATGGAGACCTGAAGATGCAGAATATTGTGAGAATGGGAGAGAAGCTTTGGCTGATTGATCTGGATGCCTCAGCGACGAAGAACGAAACAAATACAGAAATAGAGCTCGCAGAGTTTTATGTAGGACAGAAGTTCTCCTCAGGGATACTCCCTCCAGAGATGATATTCCATGTCAAAACTGAGGAACAAATGGTCAAATTCAATGACTATTTCAAACACACGGAAGTTTTGGAGTTGAAAAAAATTATGTGCAAAAAGTCAACAGAATTCCTGAAATTTTTCTGTGTCAAAACCTTCAACAAAGAAACCATTAAAAAGAAAGACATTGCTGGAAATGCTGAAGAAATAGAGATAATTAAAAAAGGCTTGCCGTATGCTCCAGTGGAAGCTACAGAAGCCATTGATTTGTGGTCATTTGGGACAATCATGTATTTTCTGTGCACAAAGCGCTCGTTGTTCACAGTCGACGTAAACGATGACTTGGTTGATGGTGATGCTATGGAGCAATTGTACAGTTGGAATGACGAGAAGAAGATCAAAAGGTTGGACGATGATGTAGAAGATCCTTCTGCAAAAGAGCTTCTGCGCAAGGTACTCTCAAAGAAACCAGAAGATCGGGGAAGAATACGTGATTTGCTGGATGACCCATATTTTACCAAATCGGTAGAGGACTCACCGATCAAATCGGTTGAGATATTGGTGAAAAATGGGTTCGAAAATATGAGCAAAATGATGAAAACTTCTTTCGACACTTTGGAAAAGAATAGGAAAATTGAACTCGAAAACATGGGCATGAGAATGTTGAACGGCATGAATGAGGCAACAACTGTCCAGTGTCCGACGGCGTTTGTAGTATTGAGAGAAGTGCTTCCCAGTGAGATAGACGGCAGCCATGACAAGCTTGAAGAAGGGTTACAAGAAGTAAAGAAATGGGTCACCGTTGTGGAAGAAATCACAGAAATAATTGAAGAAGACAAATTAGAAAGGTTGTTGGATAGTGATGCGGAAACATGTGAGGAGGAAAACGAAAACTCTGAAAATCCTCCATCCAAACTGCTCAACGTCTTCAAAAAAAAGTTCCAAGACATCATCACAGATCATAAGAAGACAGTGTATCTTTACCTTGTTGATGAATTGACGGGGGAGCCCGTTACGAGTTTGAAAGGGTATCCCATCGAAATTACGAGTCCAATAGATATTGTCCCGCAATTGCTTCCGTGTCTCCAACACACCGTAACGGCAATAACCATCTACAATGGCGTCGCGGGTATCTTCAAAATGTTTGGCATTCCTAAAGTTCCGAGTGGGGCTAAAGATGCACTTGAAAAGACGGCCGATTTCCTTTCGGAAAGTAGCTCGGTGGAGAAATGGAAAGTTGTACACAATGCGACAAAAGATGTCGGCAGTACCTACAGATTTGTTCGAGGTGCGAGTCTTTGTGAGCTTGAAAAGTTTTTTGAAAATAACGACAGTGACAAGAACTATAGAGGCCTCCACCGGATTTTAGACTACGATGGGTACGCTTGTTGGACTGCTGTCGAGGGTGCAAAACGAGATCCTTTTCTCAAACGCAGGCAATCAATGCGCAGGGCGGCGGAGAATCGAGAATTGGAGTTATTGCTCAAGCTGAAAAAAGAAGGGGGTTCTGATGCAGTCCGACAATCAAGCCACCAGGATGCAGCTGAAAGCCCACCGGACAACACGAAAACGCCGGAAACGAGAATCACAGAAGTGAGAAACAAGAAGAAAAGTCCGGAAGACGAAATCGATAGATCGGAGACAGAACAAAATTGCGTTTGTTGTAGGTTATCGTAAAGGAAACAAAGTGCGATCCGATCTTTGATTAATGGAGAAAAGAGTCAAAGAAGGAAGACAGAAGATTTTTGCATTCGAAGTCCTGATTTTCAACTTTCATCCAGAAGCTCCTAGTGAACAATTTTTCGTTGTCTCTTATTAGTAGTTTCGGATGGAGTCAATTTTAGAGATCGGAACTCCACCGATAGCATAGTACTCCGAATTTTTCAAACGCTAGTACGTGAAAAAATCATAGTTTATGGCACCTGATTACCAATCGAGAAATGGCGTAAGGTAGTCACAACGCTAGCGATATTCTGTCAGAGAACGGCTCCAAATTTGGAAACAATCCCAAAGTTGGAGTGCTGTCGTTGCGTTGTTTTTACGTACATGGTATTGTCATCGATCGAGCCAGTTCCGGGGGGTATTTAGTGTTTTTTGGAATGAAGTCATCGAAATTCGCAATAGGGAGATGGCTGACAGCGATGTTTCATAATGATTTAGAATCGATGCGAAAAACAGGGACGCGAATTCGAGATAGGGAATGAAATGCCGTGAATGCTGCGTCCCCGGCCTTGATGAGCTGAGAGTTTTTGCGAGTGCTAATTTTCTCAAAACTCTTCGCCCATGCGAACAAAACGATTGCTTGTGGTGGGGCGAGGTATCCGAATGCGAGAGATGGGCCTGCGATGAACCGTTCGTCCCCGTTAGTGTTTTGCGTTCAGAGATTTCGTGCTCGGATTCGGCTTTTCACCTTTCCGTTCGATCTCTCCGGGAAACGGAGCAATGGAATCGAAACATCGAGAGGTGGGCGTATTCGTATTCGTATTCGTATTCGTATTCGTAAACACACATCCTTCCGTCATCTCGAGCAGTTTTTGCGTTCAAATATTGCACCTACGATATCTTTGTGGTGACGAAAGCATCGATAAAGATCATTGTCAAACACAAAATAGAAACTCGTAAGTTCACGTTGGGGAGATTTTTGAGTTTTTGAAATAATGCTCGGACGAGTAGACTCGTACAGGTACGTATTAGTTCTACGGCCTTCTACTCAGTCACATCTGTCTCGTATCGTTTCATTGGATCGGATTGTTGGAACTTCCCCCAGAGCAAGAGGGGGTCCGGTCAGCTATCCCCCCAAAGAACCCCTGAAAATCCACGGGAAGAACCCCAACATTCGTATTTTGATAGCCCGAAGATCTTTCGAGGGATAGCACGAGGAACTGACCGGACCGGAACGGAACCCAAGAGACGAGTGGTTGTTTACAGAAGTTGTTTCGTCCACCATAACGTAACCTGCCAGCACCGCATCCAATCTTTCTCGGCCCGACATTCCCTCCCGGTGCCACAAACAAGCACATTTCGAAGAGACGCTCCATTTCGATTCGATCTGGCACCTCTCCTCTGGTTCGAGACTGCCACACCAAGTCGAAACGAAGCACACCAAACCAAACCAAGCCAATCCAATCCAAACCCAACCAATCCAAACCAAGCCAGCTTTTGTCGCCCGCACGAACCAGATGGCCCTCTCGTGTTCCGCGGCACCGATCGTTCGTCCGCTGCTGGCCGGAGCGGCCCGTTGGACCCTCTTCCGTGCCTCCGCCCCCGCTCCCTTCCGCTGGGCGGGACGCGCGGCAGCGCCTTCCGCGAATCCCCCGGCCGGCTTCGCCCCCGGCCAATGGCCACAAACCGCCCGGTCCTTTGCGTCTTTTCTTCCGCCGGATCCCAAGGGAAGCTCGCTCTGCCCCAAGAAGGTCACGGCCCGGCTGAACGAGTTCCAGGACCTCTTCGTGGAGGCCCGGCTGTGCATCGACGACGCCAAGGACTCGGTCGGGACGGTCTACTTCGAGGAGGACTCGGAGGAGGCCCGGGAGGCCGTCGAGGCGGCCATCGAGTGCTTCGAGACGCTGGTGGGGGAGATTTCCGACGCCGACGAAAAGAACCGGGTCCTGAGGAGCAACGGCCTCAAGGTCGAGCAGCTCAGGGGGGAGCTGGAGATGACGCTGGGAGAGCACGACGATCACCACTAGGCGAAACGAGGGAGGGAAGGAAGGAATCGGCGTGTTCCCGTCGAATGCGTGGTGGACGGACGGAGGCGAGGCGAGGCGAGGCGGTTGTTCCTGTTTCGTTCCACGGAACGAAACGAAACAAAACGAATCGCTCGTCGTCGTCGCGGTGGAAAATCCCGAATCCCGGTCCGAAAGGATGCCGACGCAGTGCCGTTCCGTAGCGCGTGGGAGTACCAATACCGTACCGCGCACGTGGACAATGGAACGAAACCAATGCACCCGGCAATCACTTTGGTTCGGAGGGAAACGAAACGAAACGAAACGAATTGCGCGTCTCGAGTGCGAGGCGAAAAACTGTCGAGATAAAATAGCGTGGCACAAGGTTACGGCAAACCGAGGTCTTTTTTTGTCTAGATCTTTTCTTCGAATGCAATTCGTTCAAGATAGTAGTATCTTACAGTGTTTTTCTCTAGAAGGCATGGCACGGTATGGTATGGTTAATCGTAGCTAGGTGTTATTGTGTGGTAATCCTTGCGAGGTGGTGCTTTTGCCCCCTGCCCCGTTGGACCCGGGTTCCGTCCGGAGGCAGGGCAGAAAAACCGGGGAAACCCGTCCAATCCGATCCGATGCGATCCATTCCGTGCGAACGAATCCATCCAGCCCCGCCGGTATTTGAATTTGCATTTGCATTTGTTTGCCGTGTGTGCGTTGGAGCCCGTMGTCCACGGCGAGACTCCCCGTCCATTCTTGCACGGCACGGCACGGCAAAGCGCGGCTACGGGCACATGGCGGAATCCCTCGTGTCGGCCCCGGTGGCCGGGTTGGTCCCCTTCATGTCGGGCCGGTCGCACATGAGTGCCAGCGTCTTGGGGGGGAACTGCGCGTCGGTGAAATCGGCGTTCTCGATGCTGCCCGCGTCGATGATCGTCGCGCCGAAATAGGCCCCGGCGACGTTGGCGTTCTGGACGGCAACCAAACCAACCGGGGGCAAAAGGAATGAACAGGGGGTGGCATCGGTGCGTGCGGGTGTGAGTGTGGATTGGCGGTATGCATTCGACAGATTTGTGCGGCGGCAATCATGGTGACCACGGGCAAAATTCAGCGGAGAGGACAAAACCAAAAAACGCGTTGGGTGAGAAACGAAGCAGAGGGGTGCAACACAAGCGTGCTTGAACCGGTTCTCCGTGTTGGTTCCTTCCCCGAGACGAATTCACGGAGGATATTTCATTCCTTGCCGGGGCGATCCCGGCTTGGGCAGCCATTCCGTCGCGGAAGACAACTCGGACAACCCAAGAGGCACGCTACGCTTCGCTTAGCAAAGATACAGAAACGGACACGGACACAGACACAGACACGGACCTTGAGGTTGACCCCCTCCATGTTGGTCCCCTCGAAGGAGACCCCCCGGAGGTCCGCCCCCTCGTAGTTGGCGTTGATCAGGTAGGCCTTGGGGAACCGGCAGCCCACAAAGTTGCTCCCGGCAAAGTTGGTGTTCCGGGCCAGGACCTGCGTAAAGTCCTTCCCCTTGAAGTTCTGGTTGGAAAAGTCCTGGTTGGAAATGTCCAGGCCGGCAAAGTCGAGGCCGCCCCCGCTGACGGCCAGGGCGGGGGCCGAAAAGACCAGCGACAGGGCCAGAACGGCCGCGGTGGCGGAAGGGAGGAACCCAGGGGTGGGGAGCTGGCTTGCGGGCCGCTCCGAGACGAGGGAGACGCTTTTCGGGTCCCTTCCGGGGGATGGGTCGCCGGGGGAGGGGTCCTTCTCYGGGAAGCGGTTTCCGCTGGCGCTKGCGCCCCGGCGCTCGCCCACCGCCACGTCCAGAAAGCCGCTGGTCCGGGGGATCCAGTTCCGCCACATCGAGTTCAGCTCGGTGGCCGCACCTCGGGCCCGGGACCTYGTGGACGGAGCAAAGGCCCTTGCGGCGGTTGCGGCCAGCGCCACGAAAGCGAGGACCAGGGCAAGGGTGGTTCGGGAGAAGCGGTGGCCTTTCATTCTTTGGGGCTCGGGCTGCGATCGGGTCGGTGCGATTGGGTTGGGTGCTTTTGGATTCGATGCAATGCGATGCGACGCTACGCTAAGCTATTGCTATTTTGCTATTGCTGTTGCTGTTGCTGTTGCTGCTATAGCTATTGCTGCTGTTGCTGCTGCTGCTCGGTGTGGGAAGAGTGTGGTGGCGTTTGCAATAGAGCGTTGGACGACAATCGCCGAGCATTCGATGCAATGTGCAATGGATTGTCGTGGTGAACCAACGAGAGAGGGTATATCGTATATCCCGCGTTCTGGTTTTCTCCAGCAGGGGAAGAACGCGTCGTGTCGTAGAATTCGTACGAATACGCACACTACAGCGCCACCAAAGCCCATCCATCAGCCATCATCCGTCAACAAATTTATTCTTTGAAAGATCCGGATTCAACTGCCGTGTGTGTTTGAGTGTCTGTTCGTGTCTGCGCGTCTGTGTCATCTGTTTGGCGTGGTTGGGTTGTTGGTTTCTGTTCTACGGAACGAGTACCGTACTAATAGTACCAACACTGCGAGTACGATACGATACGACTCGCGTTGGTTCCATTCCAAACGGTAGAATTCAGAATTCGTGCTTGGCGTTGTTGCGTAGTACAAGTAGTATTTCTTGGCGACTTCAGCGCGCGCCAGCATGCAACCGACGCAACCCCGTTTTCGTTGCCCGGGACGGGTGCCGGTAAATAAATGCGGTGCTGTACCACTACGAGTACACAAGCTACGGTAAGCTATGCTACAGTACAATGCGTACTTCTACTTTTTTGGATGGGGTTGACGCGTCTGTTCGTTGGCATCAGTGACGCACACGGATTGAGACTATTGCCCCCATCGCCGCGTGCCAACGAAGSCGCACGACGAGCGCGGGAACATAATAGTTCTAACCCTAGTAGTACCACGAGTGGKTACTCKTAYKSGMAGATGCAAAACATACYATCGGTCCGTCCGCCGTCCACTTTCGAAACGTGACTCACCCACTCGCTTTCCTTCGCCCAAGACGGACGCCGAGGATCCTTTATCCTTTTGCACTTTTCGGGTGTTCCATCTTGCTGTT